AGTCCTGGCTCAGTCTAATCTGGATTACTCAGTCTAATCTGGATTACCCAGTCTAATCTGACAGATTAAGTCCTGGCTCAGTCTAATCTGGATTACTCAGTCTAATCTGGATTACCCAGTCTAATCTGACAGATTAAGTCCTGGCTCAGTCTCACCTCCATGACCAGCTGATGGGCGCGGGACACCAGCGTCAGGCCGTTGGCGTGGTTGAAGGTTTCAGAGATGTCCTGTCCGAAGGTGTAGCCGGCGCCTCGGGGGGAGATGCCCCACCCACCGCGGTCGTCAGGGTCGGACCACAGCAGGTCACACATGGGGCCCTGACGAGCAGCAGGTAAGATGTTTGTTATTTGAATAAACCACGAGTTTCATCACATCTAGAACAGATCTTACAGATCCTAACAACAGATTAAAAATAAAAACATGTCTGCATGTAGGAAGTATATATAAATGTGTATATAAAGTATGTATAAATGTATATATAAAGTATATATAGTATATAAATGTGTATAAAGTCATGTTTGCACCTCGTGTGGGACCTCCTGCAGGCGGTCCAGGGCTCGTATGTGATCCAGGGTGTCTATGGAGGGAGACAGTCCTCCGTGGAGACAGAAGATCTGAAAGCAGAGCAGGCTGGAGTTATAAACACGTGGAGGTGAACCGCAGGACGACGGCGCCCCCCGGTGGCCCACCCACCTGTCCATCCACCAGCGCGGTGAGCGGCAGGTAGTCGAACAGGTCTGTGAAGTACTTCCACACGTTGGCGTTCCCGTATTTCCTCAGGCACTCGTCGTAGAAACCGTAAACCTGTGTGATCTGCCGCGACTCGTGGTTCCCTCGCAGGATGGTGATTCGCTCCGGGAAACGAACCTGAACAACAAATAAACAAACAAATAAACATGAAGGATCCTAAACTAAAGCCCAAATCAAACTCATGAAAAGAAACTCCTTCCTGACTCTTCACCTCCTGATTAAACTCCTTCACTGGTGTTTATGTTCTGATTTGTTTCTTTAGAAAACACAGAGCTGCAACCTGCAGGTAAATCTGATGACATCATGCTTCCATGAGGCCACTGGGGTCAACATGACTCAGCATTTTCTGCAGCAAGTCACCAGCAGACACGGTGACATCACAGAACCAGCTGATCAGAGTGAAAACAAACAGCTCAGAGGAGCTGACCTGTGTTCAATCAATAAACTGATCAATAGGAAATATATGTAATAAACAATAAAAAAGGTAAATATACTTAACATACTCAAACAGTAAATATATTTAATAAACAATAAAAAAGGTAAATTTATTTAACATACTCAAACAGTAAAAATATTTAACATACTCAAAACAGTAAACATATTTCATAAACTCCTGCCTTTATTTTACCTTCATCCAGCAGAGGGCGTTGCTACTCTAGGCGGGACCTCAAACGTGCAACTCTTAGTTTATTTGTGACACAACAATAATAATGGACTACACCAAACTGGAAGTAAAAGTACTGAAGGCTGTACTGAACCATCCAGCAGTATGACGCCAACAACAAGAGAGCAGGACAACAGAACAGGAAGCTAATTGTGGCTAACGTTAGCTTCCTCTTGTTGAGTTTAACTCGGTGTGAAAGAACAACAAAAAAAAGGTTAGTCGCTAAAAATATTTAACTTGAAGTTAATCTAATCTGTGTGATGTAATCCGGCCAGTGCACCAGTCTAATGAACAGTAATTGACGTCAGATGATGCTGTGCAGTCCAGCTGAGATAGAAGCAGAGGGAATGTAAACAAACAAAAACAATTACCAGAACTCATTTGTATTTATTATGTTTATAGTTTGTTTTTGAGTTAATCTGTATCTTAAAATATCACGCTGTGTTTAAATTATAGCTTTTAATCTTCAGGGTTTAAGTGTTTTACTTATTTTATCCTTTCATTTTTTTCCAACTAGCAACTTAACAGATTCCTGTTTGTTATATTTTATAAATATGTCCAAGTTTAATAACATGAGAGAAATACACATTTCTGTTTATTCAGTGTTTAATACAGCTGGAATAATGAATTATTAAAATAATACTGTACTTTTTTAATTTACTCATAATAAAATTAACTAATAGTAAATATAAAAAAACAATTAAAAGGGTAAATATATTTAATAAACTCAAACAGTTAATGTATTTTCATAAACAATAAAATGTAAATATATATAATAAACTGATAAATGTATGTGATGAAATGATCATATACAAAAACAAACATCAGTTATTTGTTAACTGTATTTTTTTATTCCACGTTGTTAAAAGCTCATAGGGACGGGCATTGCAAATTAGCTCTGAGTATAAATATTGTAGTGTATAGTACTGTTAATACTTGACACTTGTCCCTGTTGAAATAAACAGTAAATGAAACTAGACATGGGTTTTTACGATGTAAAAACAAGTGTGCGTTGCCATGTAGCATGTCACTGCAGCATGGCTTTACCTGCAGCATTGGACTTGCAGAATGAACTGTGACCAAGTTCAGTTGTGTTGTCCACACCAGCTTGTGTTTGTCACATCAGCAGGTGTTTGTAATGAAGATAATTGTGTGAAAATATGTTTGTAGTGATTTTTTGTTAAAGTTGTTTTAGCTGGGTTTTGAACCCTGATCTCCCACATGAAAGTCCATGGCATTAACCATGAGACCATTGGAGCTGTGGCAGAGGGGATTGCCAGGAGTTGGTCTGTATGTGTGCAGAAAGGGACCACATCGCCAATGCAGTTGTTGACACTAAACTGCAATTTACTACAGCAATAGAGCAATATTAGGACATTATAGTAAAACATCAAAATACAATCATATTACTATTGTAAACGATGAACTATTGAGATTACATATTAAACTATGGTTCAGTACTGAGTAGGTACAGCAGGAGGCAGTGTTGGACCAATACAAGGTTCCACTGACTCCCATTATAAATTATTAAACATTTATATTTCAAAAACTATAAGTTTTACAGGCACCAAAAGGCATAGCCATCATTTGGCACAGGYGCTTTACAGATATAAATTACAATGGCAGCTCTAGGAAAAAGTATGCAGGAGGAGAAGCATGGCAAAGTGGAGATGACTTGGATGAGAAATGAATCACAATAGTACTGATGATCAGGTCTTTAGATCAGAAGAGTTGCAGGCTGAACTCTGCTCTGCTGCTGTATCAACAGTCTGACTCATGTTCACTCAGTGTTTCTCTGCAGCGTTTGCAGAACAAACAGTTCTGTGTCAGCTGATAAACGCCACAGATTCATGTTTCAACAAGTCTTTATTACACAAGAAAACCTGAAAATTAATCTATCAACACACACGCTGAGTGAAGCCTCTGAACACCCAGAGAGACACTTCCTGCAGTTTCTGTGTCATGTTGCTTCGACAGCAGCTTAAAGTCTAAACTCTGCAGCGTTAAACTGTGAATTTACTACATAAATCTGCATTTTACTGCAGGTTAGAAACATCAGGTTTAACTGGAGTAAAGATACAACTCTAGCTGGAAGAGGACACTGGACTGGACCAACAGTTCCAGTTCCAGCTGAAACACCTGCTTCCTGTTTGTGACAGGTTTACCTTTAGCGTGACGAGCAGCGTGACCGTCTCCACAGAGTAGTAGCCTCTGTCCACGTAGTCGCCCATGAACAGGTAGTTGGTGTCGGGAGACTTGCCTCCGATCTTAAAGAGCTCCATCAGGTCGTGGAACTGACCGTGGACGTCTCCGCACACCGTCACCGGGCATCGCACCTGCGGGTCACACCACCAAGGGTCACACCTGATGCATCAACTCTTTGGTTTCTACACTCTTCGTTTGTTTGGGTGTCGCAAACCAGAGAAAATATTTATTTAAAGAAATGTTTAAAACATCGAATCATTTCTCTTCCTGAGTGGTAACACTTTCTGTGTGTTTCTGGATATTTAGACTTTTCTTGTATTTACTACAAAAGGTTTATTTATCTCGTCTCTGTTGCAGAACCGTTTCTCTGTGGACACCTGTTAATGAGCAGAAAACCTCAATGACCCAAAACAACTTAATAAAACCAATCAGATGAATTTTCTTTAAACAGGTTTATTTTCTCAAAACTAAAACTCAGACCCTGAATTCATAAAACCAACTTTATTTATATTCTTTCATATATTTATATGTATATATAAACTAGTGCTGGGCGGTATACCGTTTTGTACCGAATACCGGTTTTTATTTTTGTTATGATATGAATTTTTTGAATACCGGACATTCCGGTTTAAATAGCGGAACGTTTCTTTGCGGCCGCCAGTGAACTGTTGTTTCTCGGGGGACATTTTTCCTTGCTGCACTGCTCTGTGCGTTAGCATGCTAAGGGC